AATGTGCAAGTAAATATGCCAGCATCCTCTGCATCCGTGCCTGGGAGTGCAGACGTAGCTGTTAGCAGTGCTAGGCTCTGACCAGCAATGGAGGTGGGGGACAAGCACAACCATGTTAAACTTGCATTTTCTTCCACCAGTTAGAAGGAAATTCTGAGCAGCTGACTTGTGTTTTGTCTCATCAGGAAATATTGGAGGAAGTTGTAAGAGAGTTACACAAAGTGAAAGAGGAGATAATTGATGGTAAGAAAGAGAAAAATTATTATTTTTCTCATCTTTATGACTAATTTTCCATAGATAAGATGATAGGAACTGCAGAGAGTTCCCTGGTGTTTTCAGACTTCTCTGAACAGCTTTGATTTATACACTCATTTGAGGAACAAGCATCTACCTTATCTGAGCTCTACCATAACACTGCACTTACATCCTTTATTATGCTGTTGATGAGCATTTTTGCCACCAGCCTATGAGAAATTCGCTGGCTGGTGTTTCTCACAGGTGGGAGGGTGAGATTTTTAGGGCCTGCCTGTAGCCCATGGCACATCAATTTATCACAATCAGCAAGCATGAAATCACTTGTAACTTGCCGGCCACACAGGTCCGGGATGAGGAGGGGGCAAAGGAAGCTAACTGGAAATCCTTCCCAAAATCTTCTATAGGTTTCCTATGCTTGAAGAGTTATTTCAGACCTTCACTCGATTACAGCTTTTCAAATAGACACATATTGTTATAATACATTGAAAAGTACAGCAGCTGTACCAAATGTATCAGTACTTTTTTATAAATTGCTCTGCAGTTTACAACTGAAGGTATTTTTCAGGGCCATTATTGAAATGCACAGCAAGATTCCCATTTGAAGGCCACATTAGGGGATAGGAACATGCACGTCCACACCCTGCACTCCCCGCCTTAGATTCACAGGGAGGGGGAAAAAGAGGAGACTGTAAAACAGCTAAAATCCATTCCCTGTGCCCTTGCCCTAGATCTGTGTGCTCACAAACCTTTGAGGCAGTTTGCAGTTGGAGAGACCCTTGTCCATACGCTACTGTCCCAGCAGCTTGGCCCTCAGAGCCTCCCTAGTTCATTCCAGTGCAAAATGAGGCATTCACATACACCCCAGATGCAACTTCTCACAGTAGTACTGCAGTTTGCAAGCCAGCAGCTGACTGCTTACCCTTACTCATCCTTTTACCCTCCACTCATCCTTTTACCAGCGTGTACTTTCTGCAACCTCTGCACTTAGCGATTTCCATGCCACTGGATGTACCATTATGCACTAACTCTCTGGTTTGGTTTTCCAGCCATACGGCAGGAGTTGAGTAGAATCAGTACAACATAATGATTGCAAAGCATTTGGACGGTACTAAGAATGCTAGGAAGATTGGATCATTTCTAAGTGTACCAAGGTCATGCAAGATGGTGAGAGAGGACACCGGCACTGTCTTTGTTCTTACACCCTTTTTATTAGCAGACTCAGCACACTTTGAAGCTTGCTGCTGCCTTGGATTCGCTTCATTTTACAAGTCTTAATCTAAAGATTATTAAATTTTAAATTTCTGGATTTTTTAGATTTCATCTGACACTGCACATTGGATTTGTCAGCCTTTTTTGTATTTTGTATTTGCTTATTTAAATGTATTACCTTTCTTTTTAGTAGTAGATAAGAACACACGTGAACCATTTGCTTTTGATAGATGACTTCAAAGTAATTTTACTAGTAGTCTGCAATGTAAATGAAGATCCTTTGCCAACAGAAATGTATTGAGGCATCACCAGAAGAAAGAGACATGTTTAGTTGTCAGCCAACAAGTTCTTTGTCTCAGAGTTATCACAATATTAAAAAATGGTACGTCAGTGCATCACAGTATCTGTGTTCATATTGGTAATAAACTGTTTATTGTCCACACGGCCCTGCCTTTCTTGGTTTCATTTGTCCCTTCAGTTCCTGTGTCACTTGGTGGTAAGAGGAAGGTGACTGAGACTCGCTGTGGGGTGGCATCTCTGCCTCCTGCCCTGCAGAGCACCAGGAGAGAGCCGGAGCGCCTTGTGGCTGGTGCAGTGCAGCAGCCCGGCCTTCTCTCACGGGCACACGTGGCCCTCACCTGCCCAGCCCTCTCACATGGCTGCCTGAGCACCACGTCCTGCAGTCAGCCTGCCACAGCCTCAGCAATGTTTTGCCAAAGCGAGTGAAGGACAGTGGCTTAAGGCTCTTCTCAGGCCACCACTGTCTGTCCCACCGCATCTCCTGCTGTCACTGAAACATCACAGGTCCCATCATCTGTGCTCCTGCAGATTTGCAGTAATGAAAGGGAGGTGTTTATGCAGAACAAGGCTACCAAAGGTATTAGGTGGATGCAAACTGAAATCCCAGGCACAGCACTGCTGACTAGGGACTTAAGGAGAGTAATTTGTTAATGGTGTGCAGGTCTTGAGCTTTACTGGTACAGGACACTGAACACTTAACAGTGCACAGCCAGTCATATCATCCAGGCCATGAAATTGTTTCCTTTACAGCCAGTGCTTGGCATGGTTCATGTTTTTCCTTGGAATGTGGCATTCTGCCTAAGGTCAGTAATAACCATGTTGTACAGCCTGGATATGGCATGCCCCTGTGTTAACATCAGCCAGCTGCTGTAACTGGGATTTTCTTTCTTTCTTCAATTACCTTTGTAGGCCTCATATAATTACGACATAATAAGCTGAAGTTTGCACAGGGACACTTAATAGTGGGAGCAAAGTGTGTGGGGCAGAAGGTGAAGCTTGGCAGGGGAGCAGTCCTGGCATCACTAGCACTGTGCCAGTTCCCAGCCTTCAGCTCCAGTGACAGGGATGTGCAAGGTGTCTTATTTCCAGAAGTGGCACTACCCAAGGATTCTCTCCTCCCAGAGAGTAATTCAGTTTGCCAGCTCTCTCTGCAGACAAGGGTTTTCATACTGGGCTTGTTGAGCCACTGCAACAGGCCACAGGCATCTTACATAGCAGAAATCTAAGGAGACATCACTCTCCAATACTTCCTCTCATACAGCTATTTGCCAGAGCCTTAGTGTGCCCAAACAACGAAGGAGATCTGGATCAATTTTTAAGGAAAGGGAATAAAACTATAAATAGCTTTAAAACACTTTTAACCCAGACCCATATGCCCTGTGGTTATGAAAAAAAACTCCTTCTGCCAACATCACTGGTAGTAGCAAAGACAAATGCCTGTGGAGAGAACAGGATCACAGCCTTCTCCAGCAGCACCCCACACTCTGGAACTCAGCTCACATTGCACATCTGCAGGCACTGCAGGCTTCCCAGCCAGTTCCTGCTGAGATGGACAGTGCTGAGCAGGAGGAATTTGGGGCTGCCCAGGCTGAGCAAGTTGGGACCATGATGGAAATACTGATGGGAGGCAGGTGAAGAAGCAGCTGACAATTTTGGTTGGCTCATTTACACCAGAGCCTCTGTGTCAGGCTAGGTTAGTAGTCCACAGCAGGTGGGTGACCAGATCATGAAACAGCTGAGTAAGCAAGACTTACACTGACCTTACAGCATAAGGTCACTCATCAAAGAGGATAAGGACAATAGTCATATTGAGGAAGATAGCATAATCTTTATTGTGGTTTTTATATTAACTTATTAAGTTGGACAAGAGAGTTGAGGAACAACTGCTAAAGACACAGGAAATTGAATACGTGATCAGAGTGCCAGCAAATCTGAAGTAAATTAATAAAAAACTGAAATTCGCTGACATGAGCACTGATACAAAGGTAATGGAAGTTCCCACACCAGTGCCTCTTCCTTTGGGAGAAAAGCAGCTTTAATAATTCAGATATAATGTCTTAAGTATGTTCATCACTGAGGAATCAGTAAAGGCTGAAGTGCTGGAAGAAGCCTCATTCTTGCTCTTCTTGTCCCAAAGCACAAAAGAGTATTGGTGAATAAACTGGTGTTCAGCCCCTGTATAACAAAGGATCTTGATCTGCTGAGCAAGCCTGGGTATTTATTTACCCAACTGCCAAAATCACATGCGTGAGAAGAATGGAGAATGGGGAAATGAAGGAGGAACCCAAATGGCTGCAGGTTAGCTCACCTGCCTAGTGAACAGACAGACTGGCTCACTGGATCCAGTGTGCTGAAGGAAGGAACAAAATTATGTTTAGTGAGGAAATCAGGCTTCCCAGGTCTAACACTCTGAGGGACCAATGAGGCTGCACAGTAAACTTTTTCTTTGTTACAGGATTTCCAGAAGAAAATAACCCAAACTGTTAGAGGGCTACAGAGCAATTATATATAACTATATAATTTTCTCTTTTAACCACTTTGTAAGGACAGAAATATTTTGCCAGCTTTCATGTTAGAGGGGATTTACTAGATGGCATCTAGTAAATTCCTGACTCCAAAGATATTGTGGTGCTTGGAAAAAGGTTATGTTGATTAAGGTTTTTGATGATACAGAATTATTGAGGATAGCCAGAAGTTTATAATTGGAGAGGACAGGCAGAAAGATTTTAGTATGCCAGTGGGTAGAAATGAGAGATGAATGTTAATGTCAATAGCACCAAGTAAGAGATACAGAGAGAGAAACAACCCCATCTCCATGTTCCAGGTACATCCCCTTAACACCATCAGTGGCAATTTTACATAGCTGGAGTATCATGTGCTTCCCAAATGACAAGTTGTGCCCCTTAAATGACAAAAGAGAAAAAAATTGCCATTATTCTGTTAGGCAGTTAGGAAAAAATACCACCATGAAGATGAAGACATCTCCATGTCTTCACTGACACATACTCCTAACTCCCGTGTACAGAAAGGAGTGTAATATAGAGGACACCAAGAAAGGTGACCAGGAATGCTAATAGTTTTGGCAAGGAAAAATTAAAACTAGAACCTGTCCTTTCTCCAGAGGACTTACAGTGGGAAAAAGGGTGAGATATGTGAAGTTATGAATACTGTTGAAAAGGTGAGTGGGAAAGAACTACCCAGTTCCTCAGAGGCACATCCATGCTGATGATCAGGAAGTAGATGGAAGATTTAAAAAAAGATTTTTCCTTGCCACAGTTCAGATCTGTCAGTTAGCAATAGTATTATATCCTAAGAATGGAAATTCATTCAAAAAAGGTTTAGACAAAGCTCTGGAATGAAGATCAAACAGCAGCTACTGAAATAATGTTACAGACGTACAAAAATATAAACATATTCCATTGCATATATAAAATTTCCGCTATTAACAATTATCAGAAGATATTCGATCAGACAATACATTGAGCTAAAAGCACCCTTGTGTTCTCCAGAGAGTATCATTTACTTCTGCATGCCAGTCTTCCCTGCCTCCACAGTCCTGTGCACACAGAGCATCTACTTCCAATCTAGCACCAACAGAAACCAGTCTTGAGCTACACACACACATGCTCACACATAACACACAACAAACACTCCTCTCACAGACAAAGCTAAAACTTAGGTTTAGGCACATATGTCCCAGAAAGTTAATTCTAAGCCTAGACTAAAAGTTTACCTAATCATAGTTCACTCTAATCTAGGTTCTGAGGGTTGCATAACAAATATCCTTTATTAAAAAATCAGTTGCCTAAAATTGCTTCATTTTCACACCCATCCTCTTGGCATAAGCAGTAGACACAACTTTAATTCAGTTCACACAAAGATCCTCCTATTTCTGCAGAAAACTGAAGTCATGGGAATGAACAAACACACACCACTGAAGCAGGAAGAGCTACCCCATTAGCTTTCCTTTGCCAGCTTGCAGAGTCTCTTAACCCTTGAATAAGGACCAAGACTGTCATCAAAAACAAAGTCCCACAGAACTCGAATCCAGGACTGGTGATATGGGAGGTTATCATAATATTCTGCTGCAATCTTCTTCACCTGGAAGAAGAAGAGAGAGAATGAGCTGTTTGGCTGCACAGAGTCAGGTGTGTTTCAACCTTCACATTCAGATCTGATAGCACAACCATTACCTGAAGTTACTTGTTATTGCTTGTGAGCTTCTGAAGTTCAGCCAAATGAGATGTCCTTAAATGCATTTAGATACTTCTTAACAGATTTCTGATGTAAGTTTTGCCTCACAGTGTCATAATTTGAAAGGCGATGGATTACTGCCTTCAGTCAGAACTATTTTGTCTCATTTCAGAGGTGGTGGGAATCTCCCCAATGAGAGATACTTTATCCACTTTATCAATCGCCAAGACTCCAGCACACTATATTTAAAGCCCTGTTTGCCACTCTTAATATTCTTCTGTTGAGGGTTCTGGGTAAGAGAGGATTAACAACTGAGAAAACGACAGACACAGCCTCACCTACGCTTTGTCTTCTACCCTGCATTCTGCTACCATGATGCAAATACAAGAGAGGAGTTCCTCCAGCAGGCAAAGAAAATCACAGGGGTGGTCTGTTCTTCTCAGTCTGATATCAAAAATACTGTGAGATTCATTATTAGGTCACAAGTCTAATAAAATTTCATCCCTGCTACAATTCCCAAAGTCTTAAGACTGTTGCCATCAGAGAAGCATTGTGCATCATTGGGGTGGTACTTGTAGTGGGAGTTAGGCCAGAACCAGAGGACAAAGAGGTTTCAAAGCTGGCAGGTTCAGGGGACTGTAAGGATTCCCAAGCTATCAGTTATTATTCCTGCTCCAACTAGATGCTTTGCTTTTTGAACACATTTATGAAGCAGCAGAATCTGTTAACTATAGTACGCTTGCACATAACTGCTTGGGCATGGTTTTATTGCAGCTCCACCTCCTAGACAAACAAAGCTCTAGAGTAGTTTGTCTTGCTAGACAGCATGACTTCTCTCTTTAAAACCCTGCAGAATTTTAAAGCCAGCTACACTGAGCACAGTGCAGACTTCCAGTGAAGACAGAAAGGGTTTCACAGAAATCGTCATGTAGGAAGGGGGTCTCATCACCACCCAAGGTATAATGGGACAACCTTAGCACAGCATTTGACTGCTTGTGAAAAGGTAAGAATTCCAGTGAAAGTTAAATTATAAACTAGTATGGCTCCCTGCTAATTACCCCATTACTTCAGCTTCCTAGTAGACACTTCTCTGTGAAGTAGGTTGGATAATGTACAAGAGTCATTAAGATCTTTTACCTCTGTACCTCTGTCCCTTACACACTCCTTGTGCTCCTGGCTGGAGATGGAAGATTCAGTTCAGGTTTGACTGTATTCTGTCTTTCACTGAATACCTCCAACTTCATAATAATTTTCTCTATCCTGCTTTAAAGCATTGGTTTGTACTTCAAAGCAGTTAATTTTCAATGGTTAATTTTCAATTATATTCAGATAATATCAGGATTTCTCCTTAGAGATATTTGTTAATAGTCATTAACAAAGAAAAAAGGAAGAGCGGTGATTTCCAGGTTTCCAAGATCTCTGGAGATGCAGATTTGGTTCTCTGTGCTCCTTCTGTAACCCCAGTCAGAAATAATTTAATCTAGGTATTGTATCCTCCCTTTTCCCAGCTGGGTAATTGAAATAACCAGAGGATGAGAGGGAGGACTATTTCCACAGTAAGCTCCCTTGAATGAAGGTTACTCATGAGGCCTCATGCAAACACAAAGGGGGGCTCAAATACCCAGCTTCAAAAGCTTCACTCTAGCTCTGACATGGTCATTTTCCAGCACACAATTGCTTAGACCTTCTTCCTACCTCAGTTTCAGAAATTCTGCCTGAATTCTGCCTTTCAACTGTAGTTTAGCCCTCATCTACACTACTCAAGTTCACATGGCAAGTCTACCATTCCCCTCTTCCCCAGAGCCCCATGTATTCCTTGCCCTCTGAACCAAACCATGTTTTCTTAAGTAGTTACATTATCCTGCAGAGCACTTGACCATGTTATATTCTGACCACTACAAGAGCTTCAGGAAGTTTTCCTATATTACCCCTTGCACATGGAAGTAGAAGGCTGGAGATTCACAGAAGCCAATTCAGCTCCTAGGAGCAATGTCTCACTCTGCGTCCTCTGGCTCCAAAGGCTCCAAAGGAAAAGTAGCAGTGACAAAGTAGCTAAAAATGGCCCAGAGAAGAGGCCAACAAACAGCCTGCCTATGTTCAGCCCAATAGCTATTGCAACCATGAGCAGCACCTTGTGCAGGAAGGAGGCACCACTTGCACCACTGCAAGGTCTCTGGGCAGGTCAACTGTATCAGATGCACAGAAAATATAGAGAGGGGAAAGTGAAACTGCAATAAGGAACAGAGGAAAGAGAAAATTTAATGAATGCAGTTAGAGGGGGGACTTCTGAAAGTTTTTCTGAAGGAAAAGAAAGAAATTTGGTAGATACATGTTCCTGTCTTGCTAGCACATGGCAGGAAAGAATTTTAAAATATGTTTCTCTTTTATAATGGATCTATGCAAAAGTTTCCAACAAAACTGTCTCATTTTTCATTATTTCTTTCAGCATCTCCATACATAGAGAACCTTATCTACCAGAAAAACTGGATAGTGGGAGGGCAGTAATTGGGGTTTAATGCAGGCTCCCTTTTAAATGCAACATCATATGAGGAGTGCTGGGGTTGTTTAGCCTGCAGAAAAGGAGGTTCTGGGGAGACCTTATAACTCTACAACTTTCTGAAAGAAGGGTGTAACCAGGTGGGGCTCCACCTCTTCTCCCAAGCAACAAGCAGCAGGACAAGAGAAAAAAGGCCTCAAGCTGCACCAAGGGAGAAGGTTGGACATCAGAAAGAATTTCTTCACTGAGACTTGTCAAACATCAGAACAGTTGCCCAAGGATGTGGTGGAGTCACCACCCCTGGAAGTGTTCAAGAAATGACTCAACATGGCACTTCATCCTAGGGTTTAGTTGATATGGTAGTATTAAATCAAAGTTTGGATTCAATGATCTTGGAGGTCTTTTCCAGCCTTAATGATTCTATATGTATTAAGTATGGTTGAGGCTGGAAGAGTCACCCTCTGTGTTACAGTACAAAACCTGTAAATGGCAGTTTCCAGGGAGCAAGTTTTGTGGCCAGATCACAGATTGTCTTAAGGAAGATGGCACTGTAATTAAGTATTCCAAAATCCTGCTCCTCAAGCTCTCCATATATTGCATTGTAGGTGATCTTTCTTCAACTCCTCCCTGCCTTCTTCCTTATCTCAGCTGTAAGTCTTAACTCATTGCTAGTTTGTAAATTAAAATTACACAAGAGCTGTCTGAAATGTAACAGGAGCAAGTGCAGGGTCCTGCAGCTGGGGAGAAATAATCCCAGGTACCAGCACAGGCTGGGGGCAACCTGCTGCTCTGAGAAGGACGTGGGGGTCCTGGTGGACAGCAAGGTCCATGAGCCAGCAGTGCCCTGGGGGCCAAAGAGGCCAATGGTATCCTGGGATGCATTAGGGAGAGCATTGCAAGCAGGTCAGGGGAGGCCATCCTGCCCTTCTGCTCGGTCCTGGTGAGGCACATCTGGAGTGCTGTGCCCAGTTCTGGGCTCCTCAGTACAAGAGGGACATGGAGCTCCTGGAGTGAGTCCAGTGCAGGGTGACAAAGTTGACTGAGGGACTGGAGCATCTCTCTAATGAGAAAAGGCTGATGGAGCTGGGCCTCTTCAGCATAAAAAAAAATCAACTGAGAAGGAACCTCATCAATATCTTTAAGTATCTGGAGGGTGGGTGCAAAAAGAATGGATCCAGGCTCTTCTCAGTGCTACCAAGCAATAGGATAAGGTACAACAGGCAGAAACTGATGCACAGGAAGTTCCACCCGAACATGAGGAAGAACTTCTGTACTGTGCAGTCACTGAGCACAGGAAGAGGCTGCCCAGAGAGGGAGCAGAGTCTCCCTTACCAAGGATATTCACGAACCATCTGGACACAATGCTGTGCCATGTGCTCCAGAATAACCCTATTTGAGCACAGAGGCTGAACCTCACCCATTCTGAGATTCTGTTATCATGGAAGGATAACAAGAGATTGCAAAGTCTGTGGGATAATTACTAGGCACTTGGCACATGGTATATTGAGGCTTTTCTTCAAGTAGGTCAAGGTGGCAGGGCAAGAAATGACATCTTTTGGACTGAAACTTTTGTTCTGGTTCTGTACTTTTAAAGCACAGTGACAGGACCCTACTCATACTCTTTATATCTGATAGGTACAAAAGTTAAATGCAGCCTAGTATTTCAGCATGGCTGTTACACATTCTTTGTCCTGAGGCTATACAGAAACTAGAGATCCTTACAACACAAAGCTGCAAAATTATGTTTAGAATGATCAAAGGCTTATTACTAGAAGTTCCCTCTATAGTCTCACATCCCCACCACAGGATGGTGGGCACTGGAACTAGCCCTCCTGGCCATCATAGGGTTAATGAAATCTGCAATTCAAAACCAGCACATCTGCCATGTTTTCCAGTCTTGTCTGTCTAATAAATCTGGTTTCATACCATGTCTTTTCCTTTTCCCACAAGCTTAATGAGTAACTAGTTTGCCCCGGTAACACTGCTGCTTTTATTGCAGCTTCTAATAGAGTTCCTCCTTCTTCTCCAATCTCCTCTCTCCATAACTCCGTCCTTCAGACAATGAAGAATGGATCTCTTTACTCATTTGGTAAACAATGCAATATTTTATAGTTGTAAGACTTCATTCAAAGACAAACCTATTCTTAAGTCTACAGGGGTTTTTCTTAGAGCAGGTCCTTCATTGCAAAGTTAAATTTCATGGTCTCTTGTGTAATCTCTCATTATACTAGTGGGACAAGTTCTTACTGCACACCCATGTCATTCATCTTTAATATCCATAAGCTTATGAGCACAGCCTAATTCTTCCTCTTTCAAATCTGTCACAGTCCTAGGGTAAAGGTCTTTCCAGTGGCAAACACATTAGTCAGAACGTTCTGAATGACACACCTGTAACAAAGGAAAATGCTGAATTTACTTTCCTGATAAGCAAGCTGAAAAGCTAGTTACTTTCCAAGATTAAGATCCAGTTATTCTCAAATCCTATTTCTCCCCTGATCTCAATCATGCAGGATAGATCTTTAAAAATAGAGATCTTTACTCCATTTCTATTTGCCAATAATTAAAAATAAAAATAGTCTCACTGAGAGATCATCCATATTACACAATGCAACTATTAGAAGTTCAAGCGTCTGAGACTAAATCTGAAAGAAAAGATCTTTGGTACATGAAGACTTTGCCAGGAGGTCAAGCCAAGTAGAGCAAGGTGAGGTTTCTTACCTGCTATGAAGTTCAGGATTTAAAGTTAATCAGAGAGGATCTGTTTCCTTATCTCTTTTCATCAGAGGAGCAGAGATTTTTTTCTCATTTTGCAGAAAAGCGTAACCAATTTGTTTTAATGGTGAAAGGATTTTCTATGGAAACTGTTTTGCCAAAGAAAATATATCTTTTTTTTTTTAATAGAATTCTTTTTAATAGAATTTTTACTTGTAATTGATCTCTCGTCAGACTCCAAGTCTTCCATATAGTTCTGTCAGGCAACAGTGATTGACAAGCCTGCTCTCTCCTCCACCAGCAGGGCAAGTCTCAGTTGACAAAGAGCAAAACACACGTGAACAGAAGCCCATGAAATTCAGCTAATAACTCCATCCTCTTTATGCAGGAGGGCAGACACTTCAGCTGCTGCACTGCCTGAAGGAATTAGGCTGAACTATTTGTGGTGTGGGTGGAGAAGAGCTTTTCAGGTCTCAATCAAGGCTGGAGCAACAGTCCCAGCAAGTTCAAGTAGTCACTCACTTCCCTTGTGCAGGATACTGAGCTAACCTCCTTCTCTTCTATTTTCATTTTGGTAATCTAAGTATCTAAGCCCATATAACAAGTTTGAACATTTGAAACTAAAGCCAAGCACAGGCACTTCCCCACTGAGCTATCAGGTGTATCAGTGATGGGAGTGCCTCACAGGAGAGCTCCGTATCCAAGTGTGGGCTGCTGCACCAGCTCCTCTGGGCCTCACCAGGAACAGGCAGCCTCCAGGACAGACCTCCAGCAGCAAAGGAGTGATTGAAACACAATTGCAGGCTATATAGAGGCTTCCCACACTCTTCTACACAAGAAAATCTCCCGTTGATTTGAATCTCCTCTCAGGGAGCGTGTCTGTGATGGAGAACATGAGCCCATAGAGCAGGGTTTCCCCGGCTATGCCATCACAGAAGTTGCACTTGGTATCAGTAGTGGTGGGGAGGTCATAGCTCCTGAGCCTCAGGCTCTACCTCCACCTCATATGGATATGGAGCAGCAGTTCCACACTTTGCATCAGGCCACAGAAAGATGTTTCCTTCCTGTTACATCAGAGAACTGATATGTAGGAGTAATCCTTGGAAGTCACGTACCTCTAACTCTGCGAGCACCTGCTGAGGAGCCCTTGCATAAAACACACAAGAGCAGCTACACACCTGGAGGGAGATGGAAAACCATTCCTAGACACCTGGGCTTTGCAAATTTGATTCCCACAAGTGATAAAACATAAACAAAAAGGGGTTTGCCTTTCAAAGGAGGAAAGCCACAGTGCTTTCCCAGTGACAGACCAGGCCTCCTCAGTTTCTGTGGGTGGGACAGGAGAGCTAAAAGAAGTCTCAGAGAGTGCGGCTTTATTTTCCAGTGCTACCTGTGTCAGGCTGGAACATGCCCCAAAAATTATGTCATCTCAAAACCAGAAAAAATTTCTTTGATGTTAATCAAGAAATATAGTTAGCAGATTGATCATTAGACAAATTTAAAGTAGCAATTGCCACCTGCCTCCCTTTAGATGGGTCTTGAAACTTTCAGAGTCGAAACTTAGTGGCTGAGGGATGTAAATCCAGATATTTAAAGCCTTGTTGGAGGCTTTAAATGTCTGGAGGATACCTTTTATCATGTAAAAGGTATTCCTCAAGCCCTCTGAGGATCAGATGTTCTACTTTGCATCAAATAAACCAAGTATTACAGCAGTTTTACAGCCATTTCTCTCAATCTCTGGCTTAAAATTAATTAGAAACAAATCCAAAAAACTGTTCTCTTTTTTTCCCTTTTTTTTTTTCTTAAACTCATCAGTTGCTATGATTTGGAGTGTTTTCTTTGACACAGTTTAGCAGCTTTCATAAAAATCCAACTCACTCATGCTCATGCTGTACTTACCATGGGCAATCTGCATCCAGGAATGCTGGGGAAGTCGTGGTGCTCCATGTGGTAGCCTACATTGAAGGTGAGCCAGTTCAGAGGTCCATAATAAGAGTATGTCTCATACCCTTTTAGGAACATGTAGTGTTCTGCTATGAAGTGCCCAGAAATGGGATGAAAACCCAAGCAAAGAATACTACCTGCTATTAAGTAAATAACAGGTTTGAGCCCCCACAGGTAGTAAATTATGAGGTCTATAGAAAACTGGACGAAAGCATTAAGAATTTCCATCCGTGTGATTGCTTTGGGGTTCACGTACAGTGGTCTCAGACTGTAGAACAGAGGCTGGAGGAACAGCCACAGCAGCTTCCGAAGAGGTGTGCAGAAAAACCAGCCCTCAAAGTCTGTGGGAATGTCCACATCCAAGCTGTCCCCTCCCAGGTACCGGTGATGGTCAATGTGGTATTTCTTGAAGGAGGCAGAATAGGGGATGCCAATGGGCAAGTTGGCAAAGATTGCAAACCACCGGTTCCACTTGGCCTGCTTGTTCCCAAAGGCCACGTTGTGTGAAATATCATGGATGGCGAGGGTCAGGGAATGGTTGATGCAACCCCCAAAAGCATAAGCCCAGAAGAAAATCCATTTCCAAGATAAGTCTTTCACCAGGTAGCATGCCAGAAGCTGCATGAAAACCATTCCAGATACAATCCACTTTAAATGTGGATCTGGTCCCATCAGAGTCTTGATCTCTGGATACTTTGCTAAAGGGAAAAATGCAGAGAAAAACTTGGTTAGATCATAATTAGGTGAACACAATCACCTCTGTGACCCTCTGGTTTTATTGCACTATGTTTGAGGCCCTGGTTTTATAAAATATTAATCCCAAAGTAGGGTTGCCACTATGGTGAATGTTTTACTAGTTCCAGCATCATGTCCAGTTCTGACTGATATTGAGATAGACATATAAAAAAAATACCCTGATGGTCTCTCTGTGGCATAATGTGCCTTTCCCATAATGAGTATTTTTTCACAGTGATGAGAAGTAATATGCCAAATCCTACAGGACTTAAGCTCTAAGAAACACCTTCTGTCACATTTTTAAGTTTTACATGTCCTTTTGTATTTTGCTCAGATGTTATTTTCCACTAAAGGGATACAACTGCCTTCTTTGTAGCCCTTTTCACACTGCTGTTTCAAGCACACAAGCAGAGGAGAGAGCTGAGCAACAGGCTCACCAGGTTTTGCTCTGTGGTTAGATGACAAACACAGCATTTAAAAAAAATTTCTAACTATTTGAGTGTTTACCAGTGCTCACAACAGGTACAACTCTTCACACATAGTAACATCACAGTAAAGTCAGTAATATTATCAGGATTTTGTACAGCATGGCAGATTTTTCTCTGTTCCCATGTCACATACCAAAAGCAGGCATAAAAGCCACATAGATTATCACACAACAGCTTCATGAGACCTCACAAATACTGCAGTACAACAGACACCTGGGCTAGGCCTGCGAGTCTGACTCATGTCAGGCCAGGACTAGCTTATTGATCTTCAGTCCCACCAGCCATTCATCTGTCCTTTAAAAAGAAAATAAAATACAGAATGCAGCTGATCCTCAAGGTGCTGTTCACTGATTCACATCTCCTCTTTGCAAATCCACACTTCTCACTTCCAGTATTAACTTGTACATGATTCCTTCTGTTGCCGTATGGCTTTTAGCCACGTACTGACCTCCCTCCTTTAACTCATACTTTGCATTTCTCAGTAATTGCAGCTTACACAGATAAGTGCATAAGAAGTCAGTCATTCTGAACCCTGAGGTTACAGTGTCCCTGTGAGTTTCATGGGCCCATTTTATGAATAGTAAAGTAAACATCATCTGACTGTCACAGTATAATACCAATGCAATAAAATCAGATTACAATGATCTGCATCTATGCAGCTGTGTCTACTATAAACAAAGGCTGGAGACAATACATATAATTTATGTGACCTCGAAAGCAGTGGCAGATATTGAGTGCTGGATGCAGAGAAGGTTTTTGTAGAAGTGAACCCTGAGAAGTTTACAGAAACTCAAAAAGATGAAGTGCTACCTAAAGAAGCAGGTTAATGTGGTCATGCTCTGCAACCATTCCAACAACCCTTGAGCCTCTTGGCCAACTTCAGCCCATCTTGACAGAAATTAGAGACTACAAAGATTAGAAAAGTGCTGTGGAAGATGAGGACAAAGGAGATATACTCAAATCTTCTGAGGATAAGGAGGTCAAGGTCAACATGAGAAGTATTAAGGCAAGAGAGAGATTTTCTAATTGCTAGGAAAGCTGTAGTGAAAGTTCATCTCTTTCTAAAGTCAGACAAATATTTTGACAAAAATCTCCAGAAACTTTAGAGGTTTTTTGTTTTGCTGGTTTGGTTTTGTTGCTGTTTTCACCATTCTTGAAATCATGTTTTTCACACCAATAAAGTTAACATGTCAAAAGTTGTTCTCTAGTACCTGAATAGGTACTTAATTTTACACACAGTGCTGCTTATGCAAAGTTTACTCTAAAGTACAAGAATATAACAGCCTGGTCAGAAAGACTGTTACAGGCATGCAGTTTTATGTAGCTTAATCTCTTTCTTAGGGGCATCTGTCCAAAAGCCAGAAGACACTTTAATAAGTCAAGACACTTCAAATGTTGTCATATCAGGAGGATGGTAGAGATAAGTCACTGCAGTCACCAGGAGATGAAATGTAAAACAACCAAGTTTGCTCCTCAGCCTGGTCAAATTGAGGCCACACTGACTCCCTCCTCCAAAAAAAAAAAAAAAAAAATTAATGGGATGAGAAAATTTATTGAAAATAATGGAAGTTCTTGACCTATTTCTTTCTGTGGCAGCCAACAAGGATTGCAGATTCCATTTAAAAGGTTCCAGAGCAGTTGCTGCCAAATGGCAGCAACAGTGTGTGCAAGCAGCAATGCAGGCAGGTTGCACTTACCACAGGTGACAGCTATTAAGTAACTTGCCAGGGTTTAATATTAAATTCAACACATGATTAACTCCAACAGTAAATTTTTGCATACTAGTCAAACCACAATACTGTGGCTGTTTATCATTAATACTGATAAAGCCATGCTGAAACCATGGCATGGAAAATTCAAGTTTCTCCTCACAGAGAAACCATGGCTTGGGCAAGGGGGTGGATGAAGGCATACAGGACAGGACACAACAGCTACAGTTATGTGACTGCATGGGACAAAGTTTTGCCCTTTATAATCCAATGAGAACAGGAGAGACCCAGCTGCTCTGGTGTCTGCACAGCACATCTCCCAGCCTCCAGCTCACTGAGGAAGTCTGTTACCTCTGGCCAGCAGATAGGTTATTCATGTGGGCTGCTTCCAGTTGTCCAGACTGAGCCACTGTCCTGCTGTGAGAGGGTGGGGACGCTGGTGTAGATGTACAGCAGTGCACAAGGATGACTCTCCAAGGTCAGCACACTGCCAAAGCAGCACAGGCACTTTAAGTAAATGTAGTTAGTAACTCTGCTCAGAGAGCTCCACAGTGATGAGACAGCATTCCCCACTCTTACAAGTCAAGAGAGAACAAATGCTGCAAGTATATTTTCAGAAAGGTTCACAATTCTGAAACAACTCATTTACTGAATTAACTTTTCACAGAGATGACTCCACTGTTCTACACATCCTTTGAGAGGCAGGTCTCACTCACCAAGTGCCTAAACTGACAATCTGACTATGTATTTTGTTCTGTTGATGTTTCTCTCTGGAGATCCAAGAGCACTCACCATAGCCCTACAGTGATCCTCAGTTAGGGCTGGAGCAATTGTTCCTGGACAGGCCGTTGGCTGCCAGGTCCTGCTGTTCTTCCTCCTCAAGAGACAGCAAATACCTTGTTCTGAACTCTCACTCATCCTCTGTCCTACTGAACCTGTCCCTGAGATATCTCAGGCAAGTCCCAATGATGGCACTAGATACAATTTCTCATTGATGTGACACTACATACTTCACACTTGCATATTTTGGTACACATGGGATTTGAAAGTGAACAAGAGCAGGAGTTCATCACCACAGAGACAGTGGTGATAGCGGTTTAAAGGACCAGCAGCCTTGCCCACATCAATAAGAAACTAGCAGTAAAAGGAGAAGAAAATTAATTTCTTAGTTTTCCTTTCTTTTCTCTCCAGGTGCAGCATACTGATACAGTCAAACTGGACATACTCTTCAGCATAAGGCACTTAGAAGGTTTGTTAAAGAGATGTAGGAAAAAAAAAAAATCTGTGATACTGCTGTCCCAGACTGCATTCTATTGATTATGAGTCCCTGCCAAAACAGACAAAAGAGGCACCAGGCACAGGATGTAAGCTTTACTACTCTATGTCCTATGCTGGAGGTGGTATTTGTACCAAATAAATACACACGAAAAAAAAAGACGACAGTTTACTGACATTACAGTGTTTTGCCTTGTAGCAGCTCAGCTCAAAACCTGCTTATAAAAGCACAGCACACCCAAGTCCCCAGTGAATGACATGGATGAGTTGAAGCAAGTCCAGAGGAGAGCTGACAATTGTCAGAGGGATGGAACACCTCTCCAGTAGGGAAAGGCTGAGAGAGTTGAGAATGGAGGCTGTTCAGCCTGGAGAGGAAAAGGCTTTAGGAAGACCTTATAGCCTTTCAGCATCTAATGGGGGTTTATAGGAATGATGGGGACTGACTGTTTAGTAGGGCTGTTGTGATAGGTCAAGGGGTAATACTTCTAAACTAAAAGAGGAGACATTTAATCTAGACATAAGGAAGAAATTTTTTACAAAGAGGGTGGTAAAACACTATCACAGGTTGCCCAGAGAGGTTGCAGATGCCTCATTCCTGGAAAAGTTGTGTTGGCTGGGGCTCTGAACAACCTGATCTAATTGATTATGTACCTGGTACTCAATATATTACTTTATTCTATTATTATTATTCTATTATTATTATTATTCTATTATTAATTCAAACAATGCATGAGTGAAGACACAAGTAGGATGCACAGAGGACAATATGCATGACAACACGTTCTGGTTTTTCAGAGTCTCCTGTGAAAAAGCCCCTCCAGTACACAAAATAATAAGAAACTTTTGGCCCAGTTAATTACACTGAAGTTTTATATGTCCACTGTGCAAGGACAAGTGTCTTGTGTTTGTCACCCACCTGCTTCTAAATATGCTAGCTGGCCCAAGGGCAGTGGGCCACCCAGGAGTGGCCACCAGAGGGAAAGTACCACAGTGGTGCCACTCTGCCGGTGTCAGCAGAGGTGGATGATGTCAGCACATCACTATGTCAGCAGCTGTAACCTGTTTGCTTACATTTGTTTATTAGCTAGTTCAGAGTAAAAGGATGTAGGAATGCTAGAAAGAAGGCTTCCAGCTCCTTCTGAAACAAAAATCTGCAATATGGACTAAGCTGAAGCCTTGGGTTGTACTTAATACATTTCCCATGGAACACCACAAATGCCTAAATCAGTCACTTTCTGGCCATGTGATTTATTCCAAAGGTGATGCCCACAGGGAAGTGGCATGAGCACTGGGACAGCAGCTCTTCTATGTGCTCATCAGAGGATGTTCACAATCAGGGGCAGCACTGTGCCCACACACTGCAGCATAAAGGACAAACATTGTTTCTTCGCCAGAAGCATGTGTACTTCAGAGCTTTGATTTAACCTAGGGACATAATATATTGCATATTTCAGTAGGTACAACTTAGAATTTTCATAAAAGTGAGGTTTAAAAAGGCAACAGAAGAGACAGCTGGAAGAAATAGCAGATTAATCTCTAAATAAGAGAGCAGAGCTGGAAGATATACTCAGATCAGCTAAATGCTAAAATAAAATGGATTTTGGCTTTTTAAGTTTGTTCTGCCTATCCCCATGAGCTAACATCCTAGCCTTCCTACAGGATAAAGTACATATAAAACACTTGCACCATCTCCACTCCAAAATAACTTGCCCTAAAATTACAAAGCTATTAAGCATTCTTCTATGTTAGATCATATTCAGATGTTCCTGGTCTATCCTGAGCAACACTGATTCAGCTCTCATCCTCAGCAGCAAAGTGCTTCCCTAAGGATCCTGTGAGACAAGACATTTTCTGTCTAACTTACAGTAATTTTATAAAGTTAGATCCAGTTTATGGCACAAATATGATCTCACTCTTCCCATGTCACAACACATTGCTCATTGCTTGCATTTGGGAAATTGTTTGCAGGTGAAATGGCCAGACATTGTAGTGTTATGGTGTTACCTGCATTTAAGCAATGATTTTTTCATCTGTCAAGAGTGAAAAGCTGTCAACACTTCCCATTGAGCAAGAGCATAATTTCTCCAAGTCTTTTAGTCCAAGAAATCCTTACTGACAAAAAGTATAAACCCTATTTCTACTAGATGCCCTCTCTATGTTATATCTCCCCCAACTGCATTTTTGTAACTATACAGAATGGCTAAGCAGATCTAGATGAACAAACTTTTCCATCAGGAAGATCTTTCCCTAACAGAGCTTACTGCAGCATTACACAAATCCCAGTCCTGACACAAGGCGGTAACAGGCTTTTCATAAACAAGACAGCGAGAGAATAGCAATGAAACAATTCCATTTCATAAACTGAAAAGCGTGAATAACGTGTTCAGGAACATGTATAACGTGATCAGGGTTCAAGTGCCAGCTTGGCAGGAGATCTCCTCTCTAAGTCAGAAGCAGTTGCACACAGACAGTACTAAGCACAAGCTACATTTTAATACCTAGATACTACAAAGAGATAAGAGAGAAAATATCTCCTCTCCCTTTTTCAAAATGTTGATCTATTTTCTGGTATAATTATAGCCTTTAGGAATGACAAACCTCATCTAGTGCAGCAGTGTCCTGCACAAAGCCAGCTTGCTGCCAGCGCAGCTGACAAACACTGCTCACAGCTCTGCAGCTCAGCTGGAACCAGTTACCCAGAGAAGCTGTGATGGCCCATCCCCGGAAGTGTTCAAGGACAGGTTGGATGGGGCTCTGAGCAACCTGAGCTAGCAAAGGATGTCCCTGCCCATGGTAAGGAGACTGGACTCAGGGAGCTCTCATTCAGACACAGTCACTGACTACAAAAACCTTACACACATCTGGACTACAAACCCTTAAGCCAGGACAAACAAATTTGTGATTAACTTTTTTTTACCTGTCAGATGATCTATAGGAACATATTGGGAGAACAGCCCAGGAAACACCACTTATGCAGAAAGAAATGCCTTATGTGTTGGCCCTTTTTTTTTTCCCCCAACAGATAATTTCCATTTGTATTTAAATCCAAGTAGTCATGCCTGAGAGAGACCAACATTTTAAAAAGCTGCAGCCCAGAGAACAATCAAGTTTCAGTGCTTAGCAACTAAATCATTAACCTATTGGGAAGGAAATAGTTCCTTTACCAGCAGGAATGCTGTCCCCAAGGCATTGTTGTACACAAAAATGTAAAATGCATGGATTTTTATAGACATTTGTTCATATGTACTTAAAATTCTTACTGTGTACTCCAGCTTAGCAGACACTAAACACTTTGGTAACTATATACTCTGAATACTAGGTGACCTTAGGCTTTGAATAATAGAGTGAGAATCTTTATACAAATATTGTGTGGTATATTAAGATAGCTTCAGTAACTTTTGGTAGCATTTTGGTATTTGTGACACTAGCTTTATAATCCATTCTGTCTTATGAGACAGAGATCATTCATGTCTCTCTTTCCATGTTGTATTTCTCTCTACCCTTCCTTCCACTCCCACATCGGGGGCAGGGGAAGCTGTAAAGAAGGAGGTGGACCTTGATTCCAATTGCTTGTTCTTAACTCAAAGAGGGGGTGGGCAAAACCTCTGCAAGTGTGCCACTGAGGAGTCCTAAAAAGAGTTTGCTGCAACAAGGGAGTCCAAGTACCTCCTTACGGCTTCATCATGGTTTGCACTCCCCATTCTACAGCACAACCAAAAACGCCAGTGAGCAGCAAGGGCAGAGACCCACCATACACCCTCCCACCCTTAGCTCACCAAAATGTAGTCTCCTTGACTGAAGGGATGAGGAGCACAACACCAAGAAGCACCATTTGCTATACTGATGTAATTTGACTATCATGATTACATAGTAAAATAATTATTATTTTCCTGGATGTAATTCAAACCTGGACGTGGATATTCCACCACTGCAACTATACCGGAAATGTTTTTGTAATTTAGATTAATCCTGGATTAATCTGTAAGATTGTGGGGGAGTTAAAAAACTGCACCTAATTAGCATATACCTTGCGCAGTAACTCAGTCAGAAGCTTCACAGCTTTTTTTAAAAGTTCTAAAGTTATAAAGTAAAAACTTGTTATTAAAAGTTATAAAGTAAAAACTTTATCCTACTCTTTAGAGGGAAAAAACCAAAACGACCAACTCACCCAAATGAAAAGAGGAGAAAAATCAAAATCTTTTTTATTAATAAAAAGTTGAAAATGTGTTTTAGGAGATACGCAACAATATTCTGTGACAATTCTGAATTATCAGTTATTCTCGAAAAGGATCTCCAGAATAGCCCAAACCCCCCACAAAAATAAGCCTCCCGACCCGCCACACTCCTGTGAGCAGTCAAACGCGGCGTGTGCATCAGGAAAATACAGGAGTGTACCTTGTCCCCAACAAGCAGCGGGGACTTGCTATTGTCCTCCAGCAGATCGGACCCGCATTCCCGGTTACTTTCATGCACTACCAAGGCACCGGGCACACGTGTCCGCAGGAGGGCTCCGAGCCCGGGGCGCACCCGGCGGAGCCGCCGCCCGCCAGCACCCCCGACGGCAGCGGCCGCTCCCGGGGCGCGGCGCGGACAGGCGGGCGCTGGGCACAGCCCGTGCCGTCCCGTCGCCTCTGCCACCCGGTGACCCGGCCCGGCACAGCCGGGCTCCATTCGGCCGCGGCATCCCCGCCACTGCCTCCAGAAGGCAGAGAGTTGGGAGCGCTACACTCCTCGGGGGACACACCCAACAGCCCACCGGGCTGCGGCACTCGCTCTCCGCAGCCTGGACCCCAGCCCGAGCCGCACCGACACCGGTGGTCCCGACGCGGACCCCCCGCCCCGTCCCTTCCCATCCCTTCCCCTCCAGGAGCGCAGCCCAGCCCGGCTGCCCGAGCCGCCGCTCCCGGCCCCCCCGTCGTACCCAGGATCTCCTTCCTGCGCTGCGTGTGGGGCTGCTCCGTGTAGACCCACTCGAAGTCCTCGCGGGTGACACAGTTCCCCATGGCGCCGGCTGCGCCCCGCGCCGCGCCGTCCTTATAGCTCCGCGCCCGCGGAGGGGCGGCTCCTCCGCCCGCCCCCGCCCCGCCGCCGCCGCAGGCGCGCACCGGGACAGCTCCGCTCGGCTGGCAGGAGCCGGGAGAGCTGCAGAGCCGCCCCGGGATGTCGAGGGGAGTCCGGCGGGAAGAGAGTGCCTCGGGGCTGACTCTGGGGACAGGGAACGGGCGGCCGAGGCTCGCCGTGCTGCAGCGACCTCGAAGACAGCCAGGAGAGGTGTGTGCGGCGGGCGTGCTTGCAGGGCAGAGGGGGTCTCCGTCTGCCGCTGCCAGCACCGGGGCTCGGCACAGCCACTACATCCATCGCTGCCGCGGGCGGCTCCAGAGCACAAGGGGAACTCCAGCGCTGCAGGTCGCCGGACACTTCCAGACACAGCTTTTGGAAAGCAAAGGTATTCCAAACGCCATAAATCCAGAGACAGAGCCCTAAGCAGAACGGTGGGTTAAGGCAAAGCCCAGCTGAGTGAGCTCCTCCCAGGGGTGGAAGACCTAGAACAGTGCAAAGGCGACCAACGACTGACATACATTTTGACATACATTTCCTTGGCGCTCTGACAATCTTCGTGAGCTATCCCGGCAGAATCCTGCCCTTGGCTGCATAACACTTCACTCCTGGTAGTCTGCAGCTCATTTCCCAGGTACTGTCCCTGCTGGAGCAGCAGGAAATCACACTGCTACTTTGGTAACAAAACCAGGCAAAGGACTTGCTAACCTTAAAACTAAGGTAACCTTATGTACCTCTTTAGCCTCTCTGATTCACAGAGTTACACGTTACACAGTGATGTTTCTACACACAAAACCCAAAATTAAAGTGCTGCCCTTGTTCCCACTATATTCTTTTGCAAGTCCATACCTGACCTCCTGTCCATCTTCACTCACTATACCTATCCCCATTAGTCCTTCCAACAACAACATCACATGTGGATCAGCTCCAATTTTGTTTCATTCTGTTTCAATATGAAAGTCTCTAGAACTCCCCACTCCATCCTACCCTTAAAAATGCCTATTACAGGTGGAAGGGGAAAGGGACAAAAAAACCCAGCCTTAAATAAGAGTTCTACATAGTTTCCAGCAAGAATTTTTGCTTACAAACACTGGCAAAATATCACCTCTTATATTAGCCTAGTGGAACTATTTAAGATGTCTTCGTAGAACAGTGACACCAAGAGCTAAAAAACACCAACAATGAAACAATCCATGAACCCAAAACCCTGGTGCTTGACTGCTAGGAAGCTTTAGGAGGCATTTTTGAAAGTTAGGGGTTTTTTCCCTGTCTAAATCACAGAATCACAGAAGTTGAGTTGGAAGGGACGCACAAGGACCATTGAGTTCAGCTCCTGGCCCTGCACAGCACCACCCACAAAAGTCTCACAATGAGCTTAAGAGTATTGTCCAAACACTTCTTGAATTCTGTCAGGCTTGGTGCTTTGACCACTTCCCTGGGGAGCCTGTTCCAGCCCAACCACCCTCTGGGTGAAGAACCTTTTTCTAATATCTAACCTAAACTTCCTGTGACACAGCTTCAGGCCATTCCTTCAGGTCCTGTCCCTGGTCACCACAGAGCAGAGATCAGTGTCTGCCCCTCCTCTTCCCCTCACAAGGAAGTTGTAACTGCAGTGAGGTCTCCCCTCAGTCTGCTCCAGGCTGAACAGACCAAGCGACCTCAGCAGCTCCTCATACAGCTTCCCCTCAAGGCCCTCCACTCTCTTTGTTACCCTCCTTCAGATGCTCTCTACCAGCTTAAAATGTAAACCCTTGAATAATGAAAGGCACAAAGCAGGTTCAGTGGAAGGGCTACAGTGTAAAGGAAAACAGTTCAACCTGAAGCAGGAGCAGGAGTTTAACCTGTTACAGTTTTGCTGTTACAGCTCAGCTCTGTAAGTACAATGGTTTCTTCACTATTGCTCCAGCACAAGTTTGGTGCTTGCCCAGGAAGTTGCAGGGTCCAACCCAGATAAGGGACTGTTAATCCAAGTTAAGGTTATTACGTGTTTCCAGAATAAATGGATTGTTCAGAGAGCAGATGCATCAATATCTCAACCCAAACCTTTAATTGGCTCAAATGTTTTGGTGTGTTGACAGTACCAATGGAGAAGCCAAAGACACTAAATGTGATGACACCCTTCTGTCACTTCCTGCTCAGGTGTGCTGAAGGTGACTAAAAAAGAAATTAGTGGGGCAGTCCATGCAGTTACAAAGAAAACAAATATGACTTCACCCCAAGGCTTGTCCAATAGGATAGTGCTATTGCATTATGCTAAGTTACACATGGAAACTTAATATCTCCTTTGTAGGCAAACAGCATCTCCTTCATGTAGCTCATTACTATAGACTCAACCTGACCACATAAGAAGAACAGAAAACTTTTCTGTCTCCAGTGAGTTGGCACCTGGTTTTGAGAACAGAATTCCATGCTTTATATTTCTACAAAAGCCAAACAAATAATACTAATTCAAGACTAATTGTGGATGCCAGACAAACAAGAAACACCAGCTTTAGATTGTCTTCTAGAATTAGCAGAAGTATTACCCAGCTCTGACCACTTGGCATCCTTAGTTTTACAGCATCCTAGTAAAATAACTCACAATGGAAAAGGGAGGGAGGGGGTATTAGTGGCACCTAGCAATAATAGCCCTTTTAATGAATAATGCAATGACTGTGAACTCTACAGGTTCACAAAGTCACCACACCTTACACAGTTCAAATGTGCTTCACACGGTTGGGTTCTCTCAGCTGTAGCCTCCCCTTTCTCATTTAATTTCCCATACTTGTTTGGGATTTCTAGGAACTATTGAGAAGCCTAGCTGAGGGAGGAAGAGCACAATTGGTGACTGTGCAAGGTACCATCAAAATATCTCGTTTACATAGTTTTAAGTACACATCACACTAATCTCCAGCATCCCAGGGTAAAAAAGACAAAAATCCTTTGCTCCACTGAGGACATGGTCTACAACATACAGCTCTGAAGCAAGAAATACTGGTCCACAGCTTCACACATCCAGGCAGACTCACCCTTCCTCACCCAAAGGTGCTACTCCATCAGCTGGCTTCCCAACATGAATGCATTTCTGCTATACAACCCAGTTACTTCCTTTTGCTCATGGAAAGGACAGGTGACAGAGTAAATACAGCAGGAAGACCTGCATACGTCTCCTAGTGACTACTGCCAGTCTTGGGAGTTTGAGGTATATTAATTCTGTCCTGGTGTGCAGGTCTTAGCTCCTCTTCTTGTGGTTGTCAACAACTAATCTTTGTTAAAGTTGCTGTTCTGGAACTAAAATAAAGTTGTCTGGGAATTTTATCTCTAAATAAATTGTTTTCTCCTCTGAAGTAAGAGCTCCATGTCCCGGGACAGACTTGTATTTTCAGTTACTGCAATACCTACTTTCTTCTCTGTTTGCATACACTGGACCTTCTTTCATTACCAGATGAAAACATAGCTACAATATTTGCTTTTTTATTGAAGATTTTGCTGTCATTTTGAATCGGGTATCACTCTCTGACCTGATGCAAGTACTGTCAACATTTACAGCATGACGTACTTTATTGAACAAAGTCAAATTTTCACAGGCAGCATAGTTTGTAGATGAGCCATGCCAGCACACACCCACACCGAAGTAAGCTCAGGAGAAACAATTGCCAATAAGACCTCGTTTGTTTTCCCATCTCACCTATGCTGACCCTGCCCGGGCTCATCCTGGATTTCTCTTTCTATTGGGTTATGCTGTGCTAGAGTTGAACTGAGCAAACCGAGTAGCTGCTGCAGGAGCCTTAGGAGGAGCTGGGGCGGGGGGCGGCTGCGGCCCGAAGGGCTCCAAGGGGAGTTCCGCTGCAGCCAGGGCTCGGCTGGCCCCGTGCTGCGGCAGTGCCGGCGGGCGGGGGCCCGCAGCGATCCCGGCCCGTCCGCGGCGGGGAGCGGGGCCGGCACCGCGCCGGTGCCCCCGCGGCTCGGCCGCCCCCTGCCGCCACCGCGCCGCCAGCGCGGGCAGGGACCGCGCCCGCCCCGCGCCGCTCCGCCTCCGGGACACACGCTTCGGTAATCCCCAAAGCCCCGCCGCCCCTCCAAGGTAACGGAGATCAGGAAAGGGTGCCTGAGGAAGGGCTCACTAAGCAAGAACGACGGACTTGGTTTGGTAGTGCTCGAGTGTTCTCGGTTCCTTTAGAAATACGTCCTCAAGGAATTTTCAAATGTTTTGTCCGGAGGTTAACAAATGCGGGGCTGCTGTAACTAACGGTACCACTGTGATCCTGGACATAATGTATACAGATCGCTCCAGCAGAATTCACATGGAAACAATTTCCTCTCCTAGATAATTTTTTTTCCTCGTGATACATTTTTTTTTTTCTTTTCTAAAGAATCATAATCTTTCTACGAAGTAATTTATTCTACGGCGTGGTTTTATGTTGTCCAAAGGATTTGCAATTGCTTTCTCTCACAAGACGAATTTTCTGTTACACACCGTAAGTACTTCCCCTGTGGATAGCTTATGCCACCATCCCTGCAATCTCGGGCATTTCACGAAACTTTACAAGCATCCTGACACAAACTCCTGAGTGGAGTGTGGGAACTAGGCTTCTATTCTACAGCAAAAATTTAAAACACAAAAAGCAGCAACAACGTTTGTAATCTCCCCAAATATGAGAACCTAATGGATTCACTGTGGACGAGTTGTCATAATTATGAGAGACCGTGGGTCCTTGAAGAAAACTTCTTCCCCTCTAAGCACGGATGCCACTCTTCTCTGAAAGCTCACCCTGCTGGCCGCCGCTGCTCTGTCTGGCAGTGCTCTCTGCACTGCAGCTCCCCCTCGCAGATCTGCTTTCCCAAACGTATTTCCCGATACTCAGGTTTCAACCTGATGCACTAAAAACCTTTCAACTCAGTGCTGCTGAGCTCACTTCTGACAATAGGAGTGACATGGGGTTAAGAGGGGTACTTGTTCAGCCTCTTGAAGTCAGAGACTAAACTTT